CATCCAAGGGAACCCAGGCTGCAGCACTAATGAATTGATGGTGAGTATAGGGCAAGGGTAAAGGAGAAGGCAGTGAGCCTCAGCCTTTATTACCTGGGCAATGGATGCAGGCCAAGAGTCAAGCTCAACACAGGCATCCATTGTTCATGGAAGGAAATAAGAAAGAGGCCAGGCTGGTGGTTTGCAGTATGTAGGCTTGGCATAAATTCTAATTCAAGTTGTGGATCATAATACCACCATCTATTAACATCCTTATTTCAAATCATTTCTGAAAAATGATGACTAAATGAGTGTATACTCACTCAAAAACTCACTGCCATCGAGTGGGGTCCGACTCATGGCGACCCCTCCTTGGGTTTCCGAGGCAGTATCACTTTGAAAGTAGATTGCCCAACCTTCCTTCCAGGGAGTGGCTGGTGGGTTTGAACTGCCATCCTTCTGGTTAGCAGTCAGATGCCTTAGGCACTATGCCACCAGAGCTCCCTTTTAATGGGTGTATACACATATAAAATATTAATAAACTGCATATACTATTTATTGTGTATATCTTATGCTTCAGCTTAAAATAATATTTTTAAAGTATCTATGTCTAAAACTAATATCTGACTCATAGCAACCCCTCTTTGGGTTTCGGAGCCAGTATCACTATGGAAGCAGATTGCCCAATATTCCTTCCGAGGAGTGGTTGGTGGGTCTAAAACTAATAAGCATTTTTAAATATCACTGGTGCATCTATGATTTAAAGCCAGATCTCCAGGGATCAAAGTCCATGTTCTCTCCATACTCAGCCTCCCTGAGTGGTAATGCAGGATGGATATGGATAATACTTGATATAAACCTGAAAGAAACATAATACAAGTAGCACAGCAAAGTGTCAATCATCCAGAATTCTCAGAGTCATTTTGGGGAACACTTTTACTTTTTTTTTCTAACAATGGTAAATAATTTTTTTAAAAAACTAAGCTGTTTTCTGTGTGTATCTTTCTAAAATGTTTTTTTGTCCCTATATTCTTAGGCCAAATGTACTGTACATGATTGGATCTTTTCATGATGGCTCAGGGTCATAACTAATACATTATTGGATTGTGATGTTTTCAGGAGCAGTAAATGGTGAGGAGGGTTATTTACTTCACAGCTCATCTGCAAAATATGCTTATTCAGTTTTTCAGGCCTGCTTTTTATGGGTCTGTTTCACGTTGTGCTATTTGCCAGCATGTGTTATTTAAATATATGGATCTTCCTGCTAATTTATAGCTTATAATCTAGACCTAGAAACTAGCATTGCAGTTTGTAAAACTATAAGTTAAATTAGAGCAAATTAGCTGTCATTTTTGCTGATCTCCATTTATTGACTATATTTTCAGATAGATTAGATTGCCAGATAATTGAATTCTGAGTAGGTAAAGTATTATTGTATTCTTGCAGAGAAAGGAAGAGAAAGAGAGAGGAATTGATTGGATGGCAATATTGGTTGTATATTTATGTATGTATATGTGTGTGTGTGTACACATATGTGTGTGTATAGACACACACATACATAAATACATACCCCACTGTCACTGAATCCATTCCTCTCTCAAACCAGACCAAATTCACTGCCAGCAAGTTGATTTCAACTCATAGTGACCCCCATTGGGTTTCCAAGTCTGTAAAGATGAAGTCCGCTTCATTTTTCTTCTGCAGAGCAGCTGGTGGTTTTGAACCATGAACCTTTTGATTAGCAGCCAAATGCCTTAATCACTACACCACCAGATATGTGTCTGTGTGTGTATGCATACAAACACACACACACACACACACACACACATATAAAATTGGTAAAGGTTTAGAAAAATGTACACAAATCATTAGGTCTACAGCTCAATGATTTTTCACAAACTCAACATCCTTGTTAGCAGCACTAAGGAAAAAGCATATATAATGTTACCCACTTTATCTATTTCAAAGAACTTCCACATGCGTCCTTTCACTAAATATTGTAACAATTGTCTGAGGCTAAAACATTACATGTAACCTCCATTTGGCAAATGCAGAAACTGAGGCTCTGGTAAACTGATATTGTGATCAAAAGGCAGATGACAAGAATATAATCCTAGTGTTCCAGTGCAGGAATCTCCTATTGTGCTATGAAGTTTACTCAGAAGATATGAATATAGTATAGTCAATTCTCATATCTAATATTGGACAGGAGTGCCACAGATGTTCTGGCAAAACCTGAGACCGTACTGGGTGTTTGGATCCTATGTCTGCTCTGACTGGTTTGTGCCCTGCCATAACAGTTGTTAAACACTTTTAATTTCTTCTGGGAAGTCAAATATCAATACATTCTCTTTGAGAAGGGGAGGTTGGGAAGGGATAAATCACCCTGCAATTATACAAGATTTTCAAAAGAAAGTACCCATTCAAATCTTAGATGTCTTAGTATTCTTTCTTCTATTCCCTTTTTCCTGCTTTTCATCCTTAATGCCAACAAAAGCACAAATATGAAGTGGAAGAACTGAACAATAATAAGAACTTTGAATAAGCACTCAAAACTCATATTTAAATAGGCTATCTTTATCACTGTTCCAAATTATCTTCTATTTAGAAAGCCTCAAATGGTTGGAATTGCAACAATGGCACAGCTGAACAAAAAGCGCCAATTATGAAAACATGGATGTTGAAAAGAGTCCCCAAGTCAGCTACAGGTTTTTCAAAGAGGCAGGTATTGCCTTAGGCACCCTTCCTGAACTGTACAAAAAAAAAAAAAGTTCCATGGTGTTTTTGTTACCTAGTATCATAGTACCTAAGGCATTTGACTGCTTAACAGAAGGCTGGTGGTTCAAACTCACCAGCCACTCCCTGGAAAGAAGGTTGGGCAATCTATTTCTGTAGTGATACTGCCTCGGAAACCCAAGGAGGGGTCACTATGAGTCAGATCTGATTCCACGGCAATGGTTGCATTTTTGTGTTTAGTGTCTCTCTAACAGAAAAAAATACCACAAATGGGTTGGCTTTAACAAACAGGAGTTTATTCTCTTACAGTTTTGAAGGCTAGAAGTCTGAGTTCAAAATGCCAGGCACTAGAGGCTGGGTGAAAGCCCCTAGACCATGGGCTTCAGCTCTGCCTCTTGCTCATGGCCCACTGAAGCTGGAGGCTTTCTTCACTCAGGCAGCTGCTGGCTGCTGAGGTTGATAAACTGAACTTGGACAAATAGAATACACTCCCAATATTGCCAAACCACATGGGCAAGTCACAGACTCAAGTCCACTGATAGTTCCAAGATTGGCAGACATGACAGGCTGCCGAACAACAACTCGGTTACATGCAGGATTCTTATACATTGCCTTATCAAAAAGTTGTTTAGCAAATGAACAAAATACAAATTAGTATGAAAAGAACACTTTCCATAAGTTATTTTTATAAAATAAAAAATACAATTTTTCCAGGCACGTGAACGTTTTTTTAAATGAAAGGTTCTGCAAGATTCAAACTGCACAATGGCTGCAGTTGTTCACAACAGTAAAGCTGAATGAGATCTAGAGGCAAACTCTGCGAAGTTGCCCTATCTAGCACAGTCTGTTTGACCAATCTGTGCCCTCGGGTCTTCCTCTGGAAAACCAAAACTCATTACCATTCCAACTCATAGCCACCCTCTAGGACAGAGTAGAACTGCACCAAAGGGTTTCTAAGGATGAGAATCTTTACAGAAGCAGACTGACTCATCTTTCCTCCAGCAGAGCTGAGAAAGGGCTGGTGGGTTCGAACTCCTGACATTTTGGTTAGCAGCCAAATGCTTCAACCACTTACACCACCAGAGCTCCTTCTTCCTCTGTAAAGTGGGGATAATAATGCCATTCATTTCAGGGTTGTCCAGATGATTCACTCAGGCAGCACAGGTGCAGTGCTCAGAAAACTGCTTTTATGGCTTGGAAGAAAGGAGCCTCTTCTTGATAAGACAGAATTCCTCTAGTTTAAGCCAGTCATCTATGAATTAAGGTTATTCAAATTAAGTTCATGTTATAGGTGTTTATTAACTAATTCTTAAACTATGCACTTCCCAAGCAGAAAGGAAAGGAAAAGAAAAAAAAACCTTCCCCAACTAAACAAAATTAGAGTGTCATTAACCACCTGGTTAGAATAAAAAATATCAATTTTGGCAAACATACAAGTGTAAGATTCTTTCTTTTTCCCCAAAGGTTTTGCCTCCAAATAACAGACAGGAATGTTCAGAGAGCCTCGCACCCAATCATCATATAGCGAGCAGTCTGAACGCCTTTGTCCCATGTACAATTCGCCTGCAGGTTCCTACCTCAGTTAAACTAGTTTTACTTTATTGCTTGGAGGAAAAAGCAAGTTTACCTCAAGTGCAAAATTAGCTTTAGTAGAATATTAGTATAAATATATATATTTTTTACCACAACAATTTCTATTTTTAAAATGTAAACTTGTTTAACTTAAAGGAGTGATCCCCACCTTACAGCACATTTAGGAGCTACCAGTTCTTTTAAAGTGAAAATTACACCTGACAACAAAACTAAAATAGTTGCTCTATTATTTTGCCAGTTTAAATTTCTTTTTATGTTTTAATAAAGTTGGGAAAAAAATAAATTACATGTCAAACTAAGAGCTTGATAAATTCCTTGAGCTGATTTAAAAGGGTTTATTGAGTAATTTTCTGCAAGCTGTACACGGTGCCTCTCAATCTAGTAAACCTCAGAAATTGTAAACTACATAGTGGAGTTTCCCCCACTAAAGTAGAGAATGTAGTTCTCCATACTTTCAGGGCTGAAGACACTTTAGACGTGTAAGCTAAGAGAAAAGTATTCGGACAGCAGTCACACTGTATTGGCTAATTCCCCCAGTTTTAAAGAACAAGAATTGAACTTTCTTAGCAAAGGACCATTGAGGGTTGAAGGCTCTGTGTTCCGAATACGTGCCCAAGACCGGTAGAGTTTGACGTCGGACAAAACTTGGTGGCTGCCCACTCCATCCCCGCGTGGTCCCCAGAGTCTCCTACCTGTGTTCCTCAGCTTCTTGTTCCGATACACAGACAGAATGACCAGGAGGTTGCCCAGGATGTCCACCACAATGGTGAAGATGAGGATGAAAGCGAGCGTGGAGGCCAGCCACGAGGGCCGCGGCCGCGCGCCCTCCCCGCCGCCGGGCGCCGGCTGAGAAGCGTTGAGTAGCGTGCTGCCATTGCCCTGCATGGTCCGGGTTCCCAGGCTTCAGGGCCACCCTGCCATCTCTCGGCCGGTGCCCTAGCCACACCACCCATGCAAGTCTCCAGAGCGCAGTGCGGCCCAGCTCCGCCACTTTTTATGGCACTTCACAACCCACTCCCACCCAGACTCCCCGTCCCAAGCCTCCCTGCCAGCTCCACCACCTCCTTGTGGCCAGTCGCCCACTTTGCACTCGTAGCCATAGCCTGTGACACCTGCTGTTTGCTGCGGAGGCTCCTTGACTCAGGTACTAGTGGCCCAGACTCCGCACCACGTGCCAGTAGCGCCCCCGTGCGGCAATTCCTGGAGGAGCCACCTGAACGAATACCAGGTAGAGGACTTCTCGATGCACGTGCTCAGTAACTTTTCTTCATAGGGAGCTTCGTGCTTCCGTTCATTAATGGTCTGCAGTCTCTAGGACATTTCATCAACCAGGTACGGACTGAATGGGATCCGATACTAACGTGGGTTGAGTCAATTTAGTTAGTCACGGTGCACCTCAGTTTATCAGTCAAATTGTATTCAATTCATTCACATCACGGCTAGTAAGTGGAGGGAGAAACCAAGGAATCTTTGGAGTCACTGGGTGATGCAAACGGTTTATGAGTTGGCACACTTCGCTGCTAACCAAAAGCTTAGCAGTTCAGTCCACCTAGAGGCTACTTAAAATAAAGGGTTGGTGATCTATTTCCGAAAAAACAGCCAATGAAAATCCTATGGAGCACAGTTCTACTCTCACACACTTAGAGTCACCATGAGTCAGAATCCTCTCTATGCCAAGTGGTTTTGGTTTTTCAAAGAGGCAGGTATTGCACCCTTCCTGAAATGTACAAAAAAAGAAAAAATCCATGGTGTTTTGGTTACCTAGTGCCTCTCTAACAGAAAAAAATATCACAAATGGGTTGGCTTTAACAAACAGGAGTTTATTCTCTTACAGTTTTGGAGGCTAGAAGTCTGAGTTCAAAATGCCAGGCACTAGGGGCTGGGTGAAAGCCCCCTCAACTTTGGGCTTCGACTCTGCCCCTTGCTCATGGCTCACTGAAGCTAGAGGCTTTCTTCACTCGGGCAGCTTCTGGCTGCTGAGGTTCACAAACCGAACTTGGACAAATAGAAAGGCACAGTCCCAATATTACCAAACCACACAGCAAGTCACTGACTCAAGTCCATTGACAGGCCCAAGATTGGCAGACAACATGACAGGCTGCTGACCCGACAACTCGATTACATGCAGGATTCAAACATGCCAAAAACTACACACCAAGTCCTAAAGCTTCTCCTTATATACTGGGAGCAGCCCATATCTCTAAGGTAGCTACTCAGCTGCTCACAGTAGATTCCAACATGGAGTTAATGGCCAGTTGCATTATGCGGAGTAGCTAGATCCAGCTGCCAAGCCACTCAAAACCAGGCCCAGCCAAGTTGACACATAACATTAACTACCTCACTTGGTTCCCCCATCTCCACCCTCCATACTGCTAAGGCAATAATTACCATCATTAAAAGTTATTTTTATTTTGCTATTTGTTAACTGTTTTCCTTAAAATAGGGAGCTCTGATAATGCAGTGCCTAAGGCATTTGCCTGTTAACCAGAAGGTTGGCAGTTCAAACTCACCAGCTGCACCACCCCTCCAAAGATGGGGATGGGACAATCTACTTGCATAAAGGTTTACTGCCTTGGAAACCCAACAGGAGTATCTATAAGACGGAATCAACTCGATGGCTGTGAGATTTTTTTTTTTTTTTTTTTTTTTTTTTTTGGTCTTAAAATACCAAAAAGCATGTCCTCACCTTCTGTGTACACTTTTTCTTGCTTCCCCAGTCAGTGAGAACAAGAATGGGTGCTTCTGTTGGCTAAAACTGACAGAAGACTCAACTGGGAATGATGATTCAGAGCAGCTATAAATCGTTCATTTAACTTTCAAATGTCACAGATAGAATAGCTTCAGAGTAACCACAACTTTGCTTTTATAGCCAACAACTCGGTGAATTCTTCTCTGAAAGATTTTTCTAAGTGCAATACAGACCCTGAACACCTTTAGCCACCAAATCGCCAAAGTTTTCCCTGCAGACACTTAAGCACACATTTTGCATGTTCTTACCTTATGGTTTTAAAAACTATTTTCCTTTAATCACTTAAGTTCTCCACAAACTCTGCAACCTCAATATGTAACTACCATCCACCAGGCAATGGGAGCCATTCAGAAGAGTGTTAGTTGAGATAAGACAGCAGTAGCCTGGGACTTTTTTAAAACAATAAAGCTTCCAAAGGCTGGCAAGACTCTACTTGTCAGTGAAATGTATCCAAATCCACATGTGTCCCATGTTACTAGTTAGCATGACTCCCATTTTTCCTTTTGTATCTTTGCTATATCCATGCCAAGGAGCTCTGGTTGTGCAGTGGTTAAGGCTTTCAGCTGCTAACCCAAAGGTTGGCAATTTGAACCTTCCAACCCCTCCATGAGAGAATGATGAGACAGCTTGCTTCCAAAATGATTTCCAGCCTTGAAAACCCTATGGGACAGTTCCATAGGGTCTCTATGAGTCAGAATCGACTCAGTGGCTGTGGGTTTGGTTTTGGTTATATCCATGCCTTAATGTTAAAGTCCCAGATTGAAATTAATTCCCTGTCATTCATTAATGTACTTGTTCAGGAAATATTTTACATATATGGTACTATGCTTGAAATATAGATCTTGCCTTCAAAATTCCAGTACACATCACTTATGTGTATATAAGAATCAGAGGTGAAATGGGAAAATTCTACAAAGGATGAAAGCATTGAGGAAGGAATAGATACATTTCTTTGTAACCAAATAGGGTTAATTCCAGGAACCCAATGATTGTAAAGTATTAAAATATATTAATATAAATCATATCTGTAGATCAAAGGAGATAAACTACATTATGTCAGTATCTGCTGAAAGGGCATCTTTAAAAGTTGACTTTACTTTCCCAAGTTTTAAGAACACTCTGTAAACTAAGAAGGAAAGAAGGTTTTAATACTATAAAGAAAATCTATTTCAAAATAATACTAAGCCTTAAAAGGCAAATGCTAGAGTTATTCCCCTTTAAGTAGGAAAGAAAAGGGAACTAACTAACTGCTAACATCATGCCTATTTAGCATTGTACATGTTTCTGATAATGAACTGAAATTAAAAAAAGAAGGATATAAAAATTAATAATTGCAGATGATACAATTGTATATACTTTCTTGAATATCTGATGATATTCTATCTAAGGATATTCTTTCTTGAATATCTAATAGAACATGTAATTAGATAGAAGATCTGATACATAACAGCAATCAATGTAAAACTGCTAGATGCTGGTTTGAGCAGCAATTTGAAGAGCAATTTGAGAGAAAGAAAAATAAAAACCTCAAAGATAATTTGAATAAATGGAGAGAATACCATGTCCCTGGATTGAAGGCATGAAATTTACTTTTTCCCATACACTTTATGCCAGTTCAATACAAATAGTAATAAAAGTTTTTTTTAGCTTGATATAATGACCATAAATTTCCTTCAAAATAGTAAGTATAGCAGAAAGCTTTTGAATAAGATGAGTGAGAACAACGTCCTACTTACCAAATTAAATATACATTAAAAGTTACATTTAGTAAAAAAAAAAAAATTAATTAAAGCTCATCAATAAACTCATGAATATATAAGATACAGATTTGATAAAGTTAAAATTTCAAATAAGAGGGGGAGAAAAATTGGAGATTTCTGATTTCCAGTCTAACATGTGAAGAGCTAGGAAGTCATCACTCTTAGTTTCACAACAAGAAAAAAAAACAGGACAAACTGTAAATCAACAACTCTTTTTAGATCCATCAGAGAATTGAGATCACAGGATAAACTGCCATTACGGACACTGGAGAGACAAATATACACAGAGAGTAAGATCTTACCAGAATCAAAAGACACAGCTGGAGCCTGATAGAAACACTTAAAGGGTAATTAACTAAATGCTAGAGGTGGGTGCTCTCATAGCATAGTGGCTAGCACCTGACTGCTAACCAGAAACCACCAGCCACTCCTCGGAAAGAAGGTTGGACAATCTACATCATACCGCCTCGGAAACCCAAGGTGGGGTCACTATGAGTCGGTCCGACTTGATGGCACATAACAACAACAACAACAGAGAATGAGGTGGACTAGTTTGGGAGATAAAAACTCTCAACCATATGGGGGCCCTCACACATTCCTAAGTTTTACCTCCAGAAGCCCTACCAGGTTCACAAGGTAAAGATCCCCTCTCTCTTCCAGCATGGAAAGGGGAAAAGCAACCATTTTGAAATCCATACAGAGAATTCTATTCCCATTAACAATGGCCTGCCCTCAAAGGAATCCATTTTACCAGAACCTAATCAACTTGGGTTTTACCAGAGCCTAACCAATTTAGGAAGGAACCTTGGTAGTGTGGTGGTTACACCGTTGGATACTGCAGAAAGGTTGATGGTTTGATCTCACCAGCAACTCCACAAGAAAAGATGTGACAATCTGCTTCTGCAAAAACTTACAGCTTTGGTAACTTTATTAGGCAGTTCTACTCTGTCCTACAGAATTGACTTGATGGCTGTGGGGAAACCAACTTGGGAAGGAAACCTAGTGGCACAGTGGTTAAATCCTTGGCTGTTAACTGAAAGGTCTGTGGTTCAAACCTTCCAGCTGGTCCATGGGAGAAAGATGTGACAATTGGTTTCCATGAAGATTTACAACCTTGAAAATTCTATAGGGGAGTTCTGCTCTGTCCTATAGGGTCACTATGAGTTGGGATCAACTCAACAACAGTGGGCTTGGTTTTTTTTGTGTGTTTTGTTTTGTTAACTTGAAAGATGGGAATTACCCAACCCCAGGCCCCTGTAGTTTTCTGGTCTCCCCTAAAGGGGGAAAAACAAGCTGAACAGTTAAGAAGGTCAGAACCCAGGGATATAGGCCCTCTAAAAGGCTGAAACCAAATCACAGGATTATAGGATCCTTTC